CTTATTTTTTAATTTGACCAAAGAGAGAGAGAGAGAAGTGGAAAGTGAGAAAGCAAACCACCAGGTCCCGGAGGCCATATGGGAGTGTCCAGCACCTTAATCACCACACCATCTCCCTTGAAGGCAGCTGGAGAAGATTGAATGAGATACCCCCACAAAGCATTTACCCTTAGCTGGCACATAGTAAGCTCTCCGTGGTTGTTGTCTGTTCGTATTTTTATTTTACATAGCCGAAGCGCTTACTTGGAAGAGCCTTTCAGTGCGGCAGTAACCTCCCGGGGTTGACTCTATGTCTCGGCCATGAGGGATTTCTTTTTAGGATCTGCCACATTGCTAGTACTTGGTAAATATTTGTTGGATGGATGGAAGCGTGAACGGACGTGCCATGGGTTGGGCAGAATTAGAACATGAAAGTGGGGGGAGGAGTCTGAAGATCACTGGGTAGGCAGTGGGGAGCTGTTGAAGGTTTTTGAGCAGGAGCCGGAGAGTGTCAGATAGATTGAAGAAGGGAGGGTTTGGCATAGGATAAGGAATTGGCAAGGCGTGGGCACCTTCCAGGTGGGAATTGTAACTTGTTCTGGGGGAGCTGGGAGAATGGATGGGGGGCTTCCCTCGTACTCTCTCCTGCCTCAGAGGCCTGTGCATGAGCCTGGACTGTGTGAGGCGCTCCTCTGACTGCAACCTCTCCATCTGGGTATCCTGGACTGTTACCCTGGGCCCTGCAGGACCTCCCTTTATCCACGCGTCCCCTCTACCTGGTCCTGTATCCCCAGCTGGAAGAATCTCATAAAAAGATCCTATTTGAACCCTTCCACTGGCTTCCCTCGGTCTCCGGGGTAGCTTCAATTCCCCACTGTGGCTCCAGGCACGGTATAATTGAGTCCTGCTGGCCTCTCGACTCTGTCTCTCTCCCCACTCCTCCTTTGTCTCAGAGCTGCTCATTGGAGCTGGCCGGATCTGACCCTTGGCTCATCTGCAGCCTTCCTAAGTGAGGCCTGCGTGTTCTACTTCGTGGCCTGAACCAGAGGTTCCAGGGTGACCCTGTACAGCGCTTCTTGCACTTTCATGTGCAGGAGGGTCTCCTGGGCATCTTGTCACGGTGCAGGGAGATGACTATGGCCCAGGAGCGAAGGGACAGAGCTGGCTGGGATGTGGAAAGATGGGTGCTGAGAGGTGGGGGTAGAGTCACCCAATGCCTGCCCCCACTGGCCCAAGTGGCATGCTCCCAAGGGACTCGTGCCTGCTCGGTGTGTTATGGGGGACCGTAGAACTTCCTTAGCAGGCTGGGTCTGTGGGAGCCTTTCTTGAATTGCTTTTGACATAATTTCGCAGCTGAAAGACATGTGCCCTTTCAGACGGAGCATTGGAGGGAAGGCCACCAGACTAAGAGGTAATTTTTTTTTTTCGGAGAGATTTTTCCTATAGGGCACGTGCGCTCGCCAGAAAGACAGAGAGAGACAGAGAGACAGAAAGTGAGAAATCATCCCCCCCAGGGGGGATGGCCACGCCGCAATCCCTTCTCCTCCATTCTCCACTTGGGATCTTGGGCACGCATGCACACGTGCCCAGCGTGAGTTTAAGCTACCGGGTCCAGGACTCGAACCGTGGGTGACTACATGGGAGTTCAGCGACATAGCCATTACGCCAACTGCTGTTCCCAAGAGGTCATTTTGCAATGCAGAAAATTTCTGGTCTTCTGTGACTTACATATGCAGAAATCATCTCCTCATGCCTTGAGAGAGAGGCAAGAAAGCTGCCCTAGTGCCATGGGAAGGCCGAGGTGTGCCTTGGGCATCTGAGGATTCTGGGAGCCCATTTTCCTGTTGTCACTGCCGGCCCTTGTTTCCTGTCTTTGCTGAGTTCTGGTTCTCTTGGTCTGACAGCTGTTCCTTCATCTCTGTCCTGTGTTGATCTCAGTGTGGGTCCCGGCTCCCCAACTTTCTGCTACCCGCTATCAAAGCACCCACAAATGCAAGCCAGGAAGTTGTTGGAAGTCACTGGGAAGGCATGGCATTGCTGTACGAAATAGCAAACTCAAAGCAGCAGGGAAGGCAGAGAACAGACTTCCTGTTCTTGAGCATTCTCTGGACCAGCCCACCTCTGGGAGTTTTCACCAGCCACCCGCCACATGGGGTGCCTGGCCTCAGACCCCCTCATGGCTTCCTCTCTCATTCCCTCCTCCAAGTTCCCCTCCAAACTCTTTTTACCTATTAGGCAAAAGGATTTAGCTGTCTCCATTCCCAGGTCTAAAGCTCCTAGACTCAGCATCACGTAACCCAAGCACATGGGGGTTTTAGCTGCTGGAGAGGCAACCGTACGCAGCACCGAGGGTGAGCGGGCACCTGCCAGGTAGGGCTCACTTGAGCAGGATCACCCCATTAGTGGGTTCCTGCAGGGCTTTTTCAAAGTTTGTTTATTTCTTCTGTGTGTGAGAGAGAGAGAGACAGAGACAGAGGCACCCTCCAAAGGGTCTTCAGGCACCACCCACCTCAGTCTCAGGCAGCCTGGATCACGGACATGCTCACGCTGGCCCAGGGTGCTCAGGGAGGCTCTGGGATCTGAACTCTGGACCTTTCCCATGTGGGTCCAGTTGCATTACTGTTGGCCCCAATTCATGGTTTTCAGTAGCATTTTTTTTTCTTGCTTTTGATGATCTATCTATAGATGGCTGAGTCCTGGAGGCCACCTGATCCTGATGTCATCCACTCGGTCTTTATGTCATTCACTCATCCACACACTTACCCCTTCACATATCGACTGGGCCAGGCCGTGGTGCCGAGCAGACACCAAGGGACAAACACAGCCGTGCTTATTTCTGGAAACCACCTAAGGACGGCTACCTCCCCTGTGGACTGTGGCGACAGTGAGAATTATTAATGGCCTAGGTATTGCCCAGGGCAGTGGAACCCCAACTCTCAAGATGCTGTTAGTGCATGAGTATTCTGCGCCTTGCAGAAGGATTCACTTAGAGATTAAATAAAGCCAGTGACTTGTAGACTTTGAAGAGACCTCAGGGACTGGCTCAACTCAGTCATTCAATCCCTTCACTAGTTAGCGGTGGAAAGTGAGATTTGAAAAGCTGAAGAGACGTGCTTCCGGTTCTCCAGCAATGGCACACCGAGCACGTTGTGGCCGGCTCTGACTCGTCACTCTCAGTATGATGGTTTCTTCCCATCATGCTTTGCACGAGGGAGAGCTAGTCTGAGGATGAAGATGATGATAATAGGCCACTATGGATGAAGTGCTTTCCATGTGCCAGGCGCCATTCTAAGTGCTTTCTAGATGTTGTTTACAAATAACATGCGTAACACGGTTATGCACAACATATGTTCACATAGAACATTGTTTTGCAATATTGTTCTCATGGCCATCCCATTGACATCACTGAGTGAGACCTGAGACCCGGCGAGGTTAGACAACTTGTCTAAAGCCACCCAGCTCTGAGGGACCAGTGATGGGGTTTATGTCCAGGCTGATGGATTTCCAGTTCCATACTCTGAGTCACAACACTCCAGTGGCTTCGCTTGACACTGACTTCCAGACTGGGAGTCTCCAAAATGAGATCTGTGTCTGCCCAGATATTTAAATGAAGGTAGTCCTGCATTGAACATCATTTTAGTGTTTTTAAAACTAAATTTCAGGGAGCCGGCAGGTGGCATGGTGGTTAGGGCACTGGACCATATATGGCCTATGGTAGTTCAAGCCTCAGACCCAGTAGCTTGAAAATCACACACCGTGTGTTTGTTTGTGTGTGTGCATGCCCCAAATCCCCAAAGGAGAATGGAAGAGAAGGGACTGCAGGATGGCCATCCCCTCTGGGGGCTGACTCCTTGCTTTTTCCCTCTCTCTGTCTCTCTTTGGTGAGTGCACACATCCTATGACAAAAACCTAACAAAGAAAAGGGGGAAAAAACACAAAAGACCAAAGCTTGGTGTTATGTTTTTTGGCAGATCTTTAAAGGTACTGGATGGCAATGCATGGAACTGACATTAAAGTTTGTAAGTTTTACTGACAAAATGAACATAAAAAGAGGTCCCTATGGTGTACATGCCAATGGGCAGAGTTGTGAACTGGGACAGGGGTTTCAGTGTTCTAAAACATCTGCATGGTGAGATGTTTGGAATTGAAACTGTTCAAATCCCAGTTATGTGTGGTTTTCTTGAGAGATGACTGTGTTCAAGGGTCTGTTTACACAAAGTGAATCTCTGTTACCAGGGATTGATTTTTTTTTTTTTTAATTGCTAGAGGGTACGTGTTCTCACTAGAGAGAGACACACACAGATAAGAGGAGGGGAAAACCAGCTCATCAAGGGCGTGGTTATGCTGCAATTCTTTTTATTCCACTTCCCCTTCCTATCAGGATTTGGGGCTTACATGCACACCTGCCTGGTGCCAGTGTGTTTTTCAAGCCACTAAGGCTAGGATTCAAACCTCAGCAGCTGCCATGTGGCAACCAGCTGTCTGTCTGTCATACATTTAATGGCTGTGCTTTTGGGCTAACCCAGAGGTTGATTTAAATATTGTGACGTTTTTACTTTTAAAGAATTATTCATTCATTTATTTATTTAATTCCACTTATTATTATTATTTCCATTTCATCAGTGAGAGACAGAGAGAGAGAGAGAGAGAGAAAGCCACCAGGTCTGGGACTCGAACCGTATCCAGTGCCCTTAACCATCACGCCATCTGCCAGCCCCTAAAAATTGTGACTTTAATGAATGAAGATCAAGCATGTTCTGCTGTTTTCAAAGATCTTCCATGGAGTCTTAGAGTTGATTTTTGTCATTTGCCATTGATTAATTTCCCAGAACATTACTCCCTCCCCCCCCCCCCCACCTATTCACACACCCC